TAACAGCAGCTTTCCCATTTTTGCTACCTTTTCCAAACCCCTTGCTTTAACAGTAAGGGGATAAAAGAAAACGTGAATATTGATTCTGGTAGTTTTAATTCTTTCCAAAGTTCCTGCATTTACCAAGCCCAACAAGCTCTACATCAGTGGAATGGATGTCAAGCAGACAAATCGATCCCAAGAGCACAGTGGGCATGTTTGTCTTGCCCACTGGTGCCCAGTCCTGGGATTGCTGAGCTCCCACTGACTGCAAGGCTCAGAAGCTTTGCTCACTGAAACCTGGGATTAATTTGTCAGTTCAATACAGATGATGAACACATCAGTGTCACAGAGATTTGACCTTAAACCTCGTGGCAACAGGGCAGTTTTAGCTTTCTGCTCTCTCTGGGTGTGAGCACCCAGAACAGCAGCAAGCAGGGGAGCTGAAAATGGGGTCATTACATCAAATTCAGGCTTTGCTGTTTGAAAATGTGATTGTCACGACAAGGCAATAATCTGCATGTACTTCACAAAAATATATGGTGTTTATTTTTTGCTACCCAGCATGTCTACACTGGGATAAGCTCCAAAATTAGCGTGGTCTTTCCTTTTACCTTGTTGCTCTAAACATCTTTCCTTTTCTGTGATGATTTTCCTTAAGGGATTGATATCCAGCTCATGTATAATACCTCCTAAATGGTTGCAAAGGATATACCAATTTAACTGATTAACTGATACTAAAGGCAGTGGTGTTTTATCAGTGTAAATCAGACCTCAAATAACGATTACAAACAGTGGGTTGGAAAAGCTGCAGACTGATGGTTCTCTGGAGAATCACATGGAGTCAAAGGAAAGTCAAACAAACTGTTTTTTCCTGAGCTAATCCCCTGAAGCAAAATGTCTTCTTTTCCTCAAAATTTACAATCTAAGGCCAATTTTAGGCCGCACAAGCCACCACTGGGTCAGGATTTCCCCATGGTTTCCTCCCATTTATGCTAAAGATTTTCACATAAGCTCATCTTTACCTACATTTAAAAATGAGTGTTAGTAACTCTTTTGCTCTGCTCCTGTCATTAGGCATCCTGGGCTGAGGACTCTCTGGAGGATCTGGGATCCAGCCAAGCTGAGAAATCTTCTCACCCTGCAAAATTGGGGCTGTGCTGCTGCGGGTCGAGAGGCAAAGTGGGTGGAGATGCTTCACACCATCATCCTGTTAATAAATTCTGCTTTGGGTTTGGCAGCTACTGATTCTGACATTTGTTCTTGCCATAAAACAAGCAGGAACAGCGGGAAGAGCCGAACCCTTATCAGTGACACCAAGTGACAAGAGAGCTGAGCACTGCCTGACAGAAGTTGTCCTCAAAAATACTACAGTGCCATGTCAAAGCCAGACAGATCCAGCTATTCACAAGGATTGCCAAAAAGGAACTTAATGGTAAAGAAGCATTTATCTCACCCCCTTGCAGATGGAGACAGCTTCTTTGGACAGTGATTTGGGATAGGACACGTTATGCTCCATTATGGACTGGAAAAGTTCATCTTCGTCTTCCCCATCAAATGGAGGCTGTTGAAAACAAATCACAGGTGAGTTCCTTACTGGGATTTGCTCTTTTTAAAAAAAAATTCTCCACTTTTTATGAAATGGCATGACAATACTGTGCCCAAAGAGATCAGTACACAGCAGTGGTCCTTGTCCAGGAGCACACACCAAACTCCCAGCCATCTGCACCCTGGGTATCTTCTGATCCAGAAGTTTAGTGTTCATCAGTCTCAGGTTGAAATCCAGGAAAAACATTCATTTTTGCCCCCACAGGTTAATGAAATGTATGCAGGACTATCTTCATGATCAGCTTTAATCAGTTTTTAAAGCTGCTCTGCACCAGGGAGGCAAAATACTTTAAAGGGTGAAGTTTGGAGATTGAACTTTCAATTACCCTGTGCTAAGGTACATCCATTCCTCACTTACTTCTGAATTCGAGTTTGTTTTATGTCATGGCTGTAGACTCTGCTTCTGCGACTATCACAAGAAAGGGCTGCATTATATTTTAAAACAGAGGTGTTAGGGAAGTGCCCATGGGTGACTCCCCAGGATATGGGCACCGTGCAAGACCCAACCAATGGTAAATCCCATTTTCTCCAAAGCATTCAGATTCCCTGTATTTGCAGTGCAGCCTGTAAAGTATTAACACCTGCAATTGCCACACATTAAAACTTTTAAAATGTCACTGGAATTTAGTAGAGAAACTATTAAAGGCATTTGTTAAAAACATCTGTATTAAGCTCAGGAAACGCCTGCTTTTAGCTTAACACTCACTGAAAGCCAATTGCAGAAATCTTTTCCAACTCAAGACTAATAGAATTCCTTGAAGTTGGTACTTATCTGCCATTTACTGCAGCACAGTGTTGCTTTCCTACCCCAGTGCCTCAGAGAGCAGCCTCTCATTAACTGTGCAGAAGGAGGGCTCTGTAACTGAGCACATTTCCAAGAGGCCAAACCCACACTTACCCCCAGGACATACAACACAAAAACTGTATTCTCGGGATTTAACTGCAATGCAGAGCCTATACACACTCTTATTATGCTTCCCCGTGGTTTCAAACTACTAAATGATATTTCTTCCACTTGACATGCGTTTTCCTGCTCAAGTGTCTCCCTTTCAATCCTGAAGATGGCTATTTATAACATTATTGCAGTACAAAGGAGCCGTATTCAAAGGCAGAGCTTGATTATGTGGGCACAATATAAAGAGCTTAAAGCCTAAATACATTCTCAGTTGAGTCAGTCAAGAGTACAAGGAGATAATAGCAGTATGAAAGGCTTCAGTCTTATCCTCTAATGGTCTAACCCTTTAGGGAGCCTTGGAACAGAGCAGCCTTGGAGATGCAGGAGGAGGTCACAGTGAGCACGGGAGGGTAAATCTTACCTGTCCAGCCAACATCTCATAGAGCAGCACACCATAAGCCCACCAATCCACGGACTTCCCATAGGGCTGGTAAGCAATAATCTGTATAATCACAAAAAAAAAAAACCAAAGGAAAAACCCCTGTGTTAACTAACCCCCAGTCCTGTAGCATATTAGATAAATAGTGACATGCAGAGAAGAACATATTTNTTTTTTCAGCAAGTGGAAAGTATTCAAACAACTTGCATATTGAAACCAAACTTCCTGACTCCATTAGGCCTCTCACTATTGCTTGTATTAGTAGAGGCTAAGAAATAAATCATGTGAAATATGGGTATATCTGGGGAGCAAATATAGTAATTTATCAATAAATTTGCACCTTCAATTACATTTTTGTCCTCACAATAAAGAGCAGCATTGCTATTGTGAACATTAATGCAGCATTAAAGCAGAACTGCAGAAATTCTAAAACTCCTAACCTTAAAAATACAAGTAAAATTGGTCCTTCTTGCCAAATAATCAGCCTATGCCTACAGCCTGTGAAATGTCAGTCTGGAAGTGAACACATTATTTAAAACCAACCAACTGCTGACCCAAAATCTGCAGCTCCATGTTCAACTAAGAGCCGTGCCTGGGTGAGGAGGCAGCAGGATTATTCCTGGAGAAGATGCACCTACAAAGGTTTTCTGAAAAAAACCCACGCCAAACAAAGCCTATAAATACATCCCTATCTTCAAACAGATTAAGGGCTGTGTGTTTTTTGCTTTCTAAAATGAATATCCATTCCTGGAGGCATTGAAATGTGTAGGGACATGGTTTAGTGGTGGGCTTGGCAGTGCCAACTCCAGCAGTGGGAACTGTTGGATTTGATGATCTTAAAGGTCTTTTCCAACCTAAACGATTCTATAATTCCATGACACTGATACAAATAGAATCAGCAACTGCAATAAATGAGTTTTACATAGGGTATGTAAATACCAGACTTGGATTTTAAATTATTTTTATCTGGGAGAGTAAAGGCTCCATGTGAATCTGCCTTGGTGCATTTTAAAAGCAGCCTGTATGAACAAACCAGGTCAGGATACCCACAGGGATGGAGCACAGCTGCTCCAAAGAGGAGCCAGGATCTGCCACAAAGTGTGCTGTGATGGAACCAGACCATCCTTCAAGCTTTTAGTACCTTCATGCTGGTGATACTTTTAACTTCAAGGAGAGTCTAAGCACTCATACCCTGAGCTAATAAAAGCTTGGAGCTGTGAAGGTAGATTTGCTTTATGATCAGCTTTAAGTCTGACTTGAGAAGCATGTAATCAAAATCCTCCATAAAATACCTCTAAAGAGCAGCTTCCCTTTGCACAGCCAGCTCTGGGGACCAGCTGGGCAGGACTGGCAGCACCACACATGTTCTTTTGTTCTTTACTTATTTACACCCTTCCCTGCGTGCAAAATCCACACCATATAAAAAAGGGTATTTTCCCTAGCACAAAACACCCTTCTCAGCTGCAACTCTCCTCCTGGTGATATGAAAAAGTCATTTGTATGAAGGAAGTGAAGAATAATTCTGCCACTGGGTATTGGCATCCCTCTGTTCATTAATTTGTGGTACCTCACTAGTGTGCCTGTATTAGCAAATAAATCAGTGTACAGACCCTACACCTGAAATGCCAGAGCCAGCCAGGCCTCTCAGCTGAAATAAAAAAGGGATAGAGAAGAAAGATTCAATGTTAGGACATAACAATTTACAGCTGTTCCTTAAAGCTTGTATTCTTGTGTGCTCTTTGCCTGTCAATAAACCAATACATGCTGAAAGAAATTCTGTCTCAACAAGCCCAGCTCTCCCCATTCTATTAAGCAAACAGCTCTGAGGGTAAGGACATCTTTCCACTTGCTTGGATTTCTAAAATATTGCTATGGATACACGTGTGCAAACCAGTAACAAACATGAAAAGTAAATCAGGGATTACTTTGCAAACCGAGCGGACGTTGCAGGATGGGGATACAACCCCCTGTGCTGTGCAGGCTGTGGAGGAAATTCACCCCTGCAATTCAGATCCCTTGAATCACTGGCTTCAGACGTTGTTCAGAGGAGACAGCCATGAGCCATGTTTATCACCAGCCTCACACATCAGCCACTGATGTGAATATGCCAATTTTCCCCGTTTTCGGCACCTCCCGCAGTGCGTGGCCGTCCAGGCAGGACTCAAACCACCGAGAGACATTTTTGCAAAGGAACAAATAACGCTGGGTTACACCACAAGGTGCCAAATCACGAGCAGACTTACAGACTGGCCTGCCATAATCAAATTGCCTTATTTGAGCAGTGTCCCAGATCTGCACCACCAGCCAGGCAGCATTAATGTCACCCCACGGGGAAGTCGGAGTGCAGGCGAGGGAAGGACTTGGCATCTCACTCACCACTTTAGGTTTGAAAGGTGGCTGAATCTCTCTGTTTTCCAATTTTTCCCAGTCAATCCTCCTGAAGAAAGCATGTTCCCTGATGTCTCTTTCACCTTCAAGGCCACAGCCAAGGCGTTTTGCAGGATGTTTTGTCATCAGCTGTCGGGAAGAAAACAGCAAATGATTCAATTTAACGCTGGAATGGAAGTGAGACAGACTTTCCCCTGGTTGTGATGCTCTCACTCCTCTCCCGAAGATACACATTACTAATGAAATTGTTTTGGAAAGGTAAAATTCAGTTTTTGAAGATGAATTTTCCTGTTTGTTCCCTGGAGACAGCACATCAGCAACAAAATCAGGGGCTGCGTTGGAGAACTTTTCCCCACTTGGCACTGGTTGCCACCAGAGGTGCAGGTGATGCCCAGGACATGCTGCCATCCCTGCTCACAACTCCTGAATTTCACCTTTGGTCTTTCAGTCTTATAAATCTCCAGAACAGCCTCTGCCTTATCTCAACAATCAATTAAACATAATAAATTCCAACACACTAAAGCTGTATGAAGTACAACCTCCCCACTCCCATTTCATTTCTCTGGCCTTGTTCAAGACATCTCATTACAGGGCCTCCAATTCCTTGGCACCCAGCTGCCAGTATCAAATCTGTGTTTCCTCCCTTGCATTCTTAATGACATCCTGGTCAATACTATACCCACTTGCAGAGATTAGGCAGACTTGGGGAAAAGAAACAACCCAAAACCCACCAGCACGGCGTGCTCAGAAAATGTAATGTGCTCCCTAATTAACAAGCTCCTCAGCATCTCCTCAGTTGGTGTGTACATTAGGAATTGTGCAATGTAGCCTCAACTCTCAGTTTCAGTGTTGTGGGGACGTTTTAAAGCTGTGCTACAAATTATATATGATTAATGTGCTGCTGGGAGTGATACCTCCACACATCTTTTTAAAAGCTCAGCTGTACTGCTTTAGTCTCCTTCCAAATGTTGAGTTGATCTGATTCCAATTTTAAACCTAAAATAAAAGTGACTCCAAAGCAGATTTGGGAAGGGGCTGTGCACTGGGCTGGAATCACAGCCTTCTTCAAGCCTAACAGCAGCTTTCCCATTTTTGCTACCTTTTCCAAACCCCTTGCTTTAACAGTAAGGGGATAAAAGAAAACGTGAATATTGATTCTGGTAGTTTTAATTCTTTCCAAAGTTCCTGCATTTACCAAGCCCAACAAGCTCTACATCAGTGGAATGGATGTCAAGCAGACAAATCGATCCCAAGAGCACAGTGGGCATGTTTGTCTTGCCCACTGGTGCCCAGTCCTGGGATTGCTGAGCTCATATTGACTTCTTAGCTCAGGAATAATGCTCACTGAAACCTGGGATTAATTTGTCAGTTCAATACAGATGATGAACACATCAGTGTCACAGAGATTTGACCTTAAACCTCGTGGCAACAGGGCAGTTTTAGCTTTCTGCTCTCTCTGGGTGTGAGCACCCAGAACAGCAGCAAGCAGGGGAGCTGAAAATGGGGTCATTACATCAAATTCAGGCTTTGCTGTTTGAAAATGTGATTGTCACGACAAGGCAATAATCTGCATGTACTTCACAAAAATATATGGTGTTTATTTTTTGCTACCCAGCATGTCTACACTGGGATAAGCTCCAAAATTAGCGTGGTCTTTCCTTTTACCTTGTTGCTCTAAACATCTTTCCTTTTCTGTGATGATTTTCCTTAAGGGATTGATATCCAGCTCATGTATAATACCTCCTAAATGGTTGCAAAGGATATACCAATTTAACTGATTAACTGATACTAAAGGCAGTGGTGTTTTATCAGTGTAAATCAGACCTCAAATAACGATTACAAACAGTGGGTTGGAAAAGCTGCAGACTGATGGTTCTCTGGAGAATCACATGGAGTCAAAGGAAAGTCAAACAAACTGTTTTTTCCTGAGCTAATCCCCTGAAGCAAAATGTCTTCTTTTCCTCAAAATTTACAATCTAAGGCCAATTTTAGGCCGCACAAGCCACCACTGGGTCAGGATTTCCCCATGGTTTCCTCCCATTTATGCTAAAGATTTTCACATAAGCTCATCTTTACCTACATTTAAAAATGAGTGTTAGTAACTCTTTTGCTCTGCTCCTGTCATTAGGCATCCTGGGCTGAGGACTCTCTGGAGGATCTGGGATCCAGCCAAGCTGAGAAATCTTCTCACCCTGCAAAATTGGGGCTGTGCTGCTGCGGGTCGAGAGGCAAAGTGGGTGGAGATGCTTCACACCATCATCCTGTTAATAAATTCTGCTTTGGGTTTGGCAGCTACTGATTCTGACATTTGTTCTTGCCATAAAACAAGCAGGAACAGCGGGAAGAGCCGAACCCTTATCAGTGACACCAAGTGACAAGAGAGCTGAGCACTGCCTGACAGAAGTTGTCCTCAAAAATACTACAGTGCCATGTCAAAGCCAGACAGATCCAGCTATTCACAAGGATTGCCAAAAAGGAACTTAATGGTAAAGAAGCATTTATCTCACCCCCTTGCAGATGGAGACAGCTTCTTTGGACAGTGATTTGGGATAGGACACGTTATGCTCCATTATGGACTGGAAAAGTTCATCTTCGTCTTCCCCATCAAATGGAGGCTGTTGAAAACAAATCACAGGTGAGTTCCTTACTGGGATTTGCTCTTTTTAAAAAAAAATTCTCCACTTTTTATGAAATGGCATGACAATACTGTGCCCAAAGAGATCAGTACACAGCAGTGGTCCTTGTCCAGGAGCACACACCAAACTCCCAGCCATCTGCACCCTGGGTATCTTCTGATCCAGAAGTTTAGTGTTCATCAGTCTCAGGTTGAAATCCAGGAAAAACATTCATTTTTGCCCCCACAGGTTAATGAAATGTATGCAGGACTATCTTCATGATCAGCTTTAATCAGTTTTTAAAGCTGCTCTGCACCAGGGAGGCAAAATACTTTAAAGGGTGAAGTTTGGAGATTGAACTTTCAATTACCCTGTGCTAAGGTACATCCATTCCTCACTTACTTCTGAATTCGAGTTTGTTTTATGTCATGGCTGTAGACTCTGCTTCTGCGACTATCACAAGAAAGGGCTGCATTATATTTTAAAACAGAGGTGTTAGGGAAGTGCCCATGGGTGACTCCCCAGGATATGGGCACCGTGCAAGACCCAACCAATGGTAAATCCCATTTTCTCCAAAGCATTCAGATTCCCTGTATTTGCAGTGCAGCCTGTAAAGTATTAACACCTGCAATTGCCACACATTAAAACTTTTAAAATGTCACTGGAATTTAGTAGAGAAACTATTAAAGGCATTTGTTAAAAACATCTGTATTAAGCTCAGGAAATGCCTGCTTTTAGCTTAACACTCACTGAAAGCCAATTGCAGAAATCTTTTCCAACTCAAGACTAATAGAATTCCTTGAAGTTGGTACTTATCTGCCATTTACTGCAGCACAGTGTTGCTTTCCTACCCCAGTGCCTCAGAGAGCAGCCTCTCATTAACTGTGCAGAAGGAGGGCTCTGTAACTGAGCACATTTCCAAGAGGCCAAACCCACACTTACCCCCAGGACATACAACACAAAAACTGTATTCTCGGGATTTAACTGCAATGCAGAGCCTATACACACTCTTATTATGCTTCCCCGTGGTTTCAAACTACTAAATGATATTTCTTCCACTTGACATGCGTTTTCCTGCTCAAGTGTCTCCCTTTCAATCCTGAAGATGGCTATTTATAACATTATTGCAGTACAAAGGAGCCGTATTCAAAGGCAGAGCTTGATTATGTGGGCACAATATAAAGAGCTTAAAGCCTAAATACATTCTCAGTTGAGTCAGTCAAGAGTACAAGGAGATAATAGCAGTATGAAAGGCTTCAGTCTTATCCTCTAATGGTCTAACCCTTTAGGGAGCCTTGGAACAGAGCAGCCTTGGAGATGCAGGAGGAGGTCACAGTGAGCACGGGAGGGTAAATCTTACCTGTCCAGCCAACATCTCATAGAGCAGCACACCATAAGCCCACCAATCCACGGACTTCCCATAGGGCTGGTAAGCAATAATCTGTATAATCACAAAAAAAAAAAAAACCAAAGGAAAAACCCCTGTGTTAACTAACCCCCAGTCCTGTAGCATATTAGATAAATAGTGACATGCAGAGAAGAACATATTTCCTTGAAAAAGGCCAGCAAGCCAATCCTGTAATCCTCACTCCAGCCAATCACTGGTTTCAGTGGGAGTTGGATTGTTTTGCAAATATTAGTCTAAACCCACCCTCACCTTTGATACCCTGATATCTTGGCAAATGTGGCTCTCAGGAGTCCTTGGGATGTGCGTTTGAGGGCAAAAGAGGAAGTACAGCAGCACGACGTACTAGACAAGGCAAAAACGTTATCCATCCATGTCTGTCATAGCTTGAAATCATGAGAATCACTTAATTTATGTACTATCAATAATTAAGCCCTTCTTTTCAATATTTCTATTTTTGTTCTGCTGTAAAAGGAGTCAAAATTTAGGAAAAGAGCAGACCCCTAAAGAGCTCAGTGATGTTTTCCCAAGCCTCATGATTGTGATTGTTAGGACGAAGCCAGGTACCAGCTACCTCAAAAAGAAAGGGGTTCCTGCTGTTCAGACTAATGGAAATGTCAAGTATTGTTCACATTTGACTCATGGAGAAGCACAAACTGAGTTCTGACACAAGGAAAGACTGTGGGTGCCAACAGCACCCAGGGCCCCTCCTGCATCATCATCTTTAATTGAGGCCTCTTCAGATGTCAGCCTTCATTTATTTAAGAGCTGGGTTTGGGAATGGGATAGAGGAGTTTGAGGGTGCAGATGTTCTCTCAAATCTCCTTCTAAGTAACTGTGAAGGGATATTGTGAATTGGGAAGGCAAGCAGGATGTCCCAACCACTGTCCATCCCTACCAGGGAAGGCAGCAGTGGAGCCTTCGACCCTCCACCACCAGAGTAAGCAGGGAACTGAGGCAGTCACTGCTCCAGAGGGGCCTGCATTTATTTTCCTGTTTGCATGTGGTTTTATTCCTTGTGAGACAAATTGCTAAGCCCAGTACACATCACATATTGTAAATTTTTTACTTATCTGAAAGAGAAGTTGAACTGGCAAGTTTTGTAGTTTCTCAGGAAAATAGTGAGTCACCAGTGCAATAAAGCAGCACTGCCTGGCTACTAAATAAAATTATAGTCTCTGTGTGAATATATGTTCTTCCCTGAGATACAGCAGCACATGAATTAAAAATTACTGCAATGTTTCTAACCAAAAGGTTTCAAAATCAATTGTATTTTGGAATGTATTAGACAATCACAGATAATACCCAGATTCTCATCTGGAAGGTCCTACATAAAGGCAAATCTATATTACTTGTCTCTTAGTGGTAATATGGACTTAAAAATATATATTTGGGACGTTCATTTCATACTGTATTAGTTGACACACTTGGTTACTCTCCCTTTCATTTCCATCACCAGTAAGTCCCAGAGGCCCACTGGAATCAGTGTTGCCTCTTGAAAGACCAAACAGTTTCAAACTTTTATCCAGGAAAAACACTGGCCTTTTACACACAGCAAATGATACACTATTTCATCTTCAATCCTTCTCTGACAATCTCTCTTTGCCTTATGGCAAAGAGCATTTTATCAAAAAAAAAAGAGGTATTTTTCAGGTCATTAATTCCTAAGGGCAGAACATTTTGTACAACAAGCGTGCTCCATGTAAGTGGTTTTGAGAGGAACAGTTTATTTCAATTAGCAAATGAGAAAAAAAAATGGATCCACAGCAGTGAGAAAGAAAATGCTGCTACACTGCCAAGATTCTGTACCTGGCAGCCAGGTCTGTCCAGGAGCCCACAGTCTACTTCTCCTCCTATTGTGGAGGAGTTTGATGAGTTTATTGAGGGGAGAAAATGGTTTAAATACAGCAAAGCAATGTCATACAATGAAAGATGAACCGAAGCACTGACTCAGTGACGCTGGTTGTTTATGCAGCAAGAGGTGAGTCAAGGCTGGGCTCTTCCCTAAATAGAATTTCCAGCAGCAAAGCAACCTGCCCCAATGAGATCTGCCTTTGGGAGAGAAGAGCTGGCAGAACCATCAAGAGAGGCAGAATTAACATGAGAAAAGCTCCTCCATTAAACCTAAGGTAGGGTCAGAATCACTGCAATTTTCCTGCTGTTTGGTGCCACATGTCAACATCTGACAACCAGAGCTGGCAATGCCTCCCTCACCTGGACCAGTGATGGAAGAGGGGCAACTGAGACATAAATACAGACACCAACACTGGAAAGGTGCCACTGCAACTACAACAAGAACAGTCCTTTCATTGAACCTACCACCAGGTAGGAAAAGGTGGCCCTGTCAAATCTGCTGCTGGACACCGGAAGATTTTTTTCCTTTAATCCTAATTAAATACACCCAGTTTGAATGACCAGCTCAATCCTTGTAAGGCTGTGGCACAAGGGAAGCACAGCAAAGCAATCTGCCACGTTCATTCACCAACCTGTGGTTATCCTCATCCTACTGGGAGCTATTCCCAGCATTAATTGGAAGTGCAAACGAGAGGAAAGAACGCTCACTTCAAGGAAGGAATGACATGTGGGAGGAAGCAGATGAGCTTTCAATGTACAGTCAAACATGCACTGGTACAAAGTCAGCAAGTTCTAAATGTTGTATTTTCAGTAGTTCCCTCCTCCTCATCCAGAATTCATCCTGTATTACCTACCAGCTGCTGCACTCAGAGCCATCCCTGCCTGCCTTGCAGCTGCTGCCAAAATAATTCTATCTGCATGGACAAATTTTGGTATCTTTTAGAGCAAATTGGGGTATATTAACATGACCTCCTGTCTCACCACAGTGTGCAGGGCAGACTCACAGAGCAGTGAGGGAGTTCCTGTGCCTAGAAATGAAGAGCTGTCCCCTCCTCCAGCTAGGATCTCTGCTTTTCACTGGCCAGGGAGGAGTGAAAAGCTGGTAGGACCCTTCCCCCCAGCTCCTTCTCCATCATTAATTTAAGTTACTGCCTTTTCCATCTCCTTTTCCATTCCAAATGTCCCATTTTAACTACCTATTGCTGCATTTTAAGAGCTCTGCCTTTCCAGGTTCTGTGGATTTGAGCGCTCAGGAAGAGCTCAGGAATTTCTCTCATCAAGCAAAATTGGCAGAAGAATGTTGCTTTTTTTTTCCTTTTTTTTTTTTTCCCCCCCATTTTGCCTCCGAGGAAGGCACAGTTAAGAGCAGGACACAGAGATTAATACCAGCAATTTGTAGGAATGTTTAGATCATTGCAGCTTGCAGCTAGTAGCCAGTTGGGATGAAAAGATTATATCCCAGAGGCAAGAGAAAATCTTTTGTGAACACATCTGATGTCTGCAGGAGAAGCTAAAACTCAGTTATTAAAAGAAATAAATATTACTAGCACAGGAAACAGTCACACACACGCTTTCCAAACCTCTGTAATACCTATTTGCCTCCCACAATCCTGGCAAATTCAAGGTTACAGCTGAAGGTTTTGAGGCTGTTGGATGGAGGAAAAGGGAAATGGAGTTTCTAATTTAAATTCTTCTGAAATTCAAAACTCATCACTCTGGCTGCTGCAGGGATGCTGATGGTGGGGTTCTGTGCTGGCAGAATCCCTTCCCACTAATCCTCTTGACATCCATCTCCTCCTGTCTCTCTTGACTGGTCAAGGCAACACAAAGTACTAATTGATTTCACAGCTATTTCCCCACTCTGACCATAAATATTTGAGTTCAGCACATCAAGAAATATTCTGTACAAGATAACCACTTTCTGCCTGACAGAAGCTGTCAGGCCTGGGATCCCACCAGTTTAACCTCTGCACATTCCTTAATGTGCATGGGATAAGAAAATGAATATTAATTCCAGTCTGTTTTCCAGCTAAGTAACAACAAATGGTAACTTTCCCAATCATAAAAAAGGGAAACGTTATTTTAGAGTACACCAAGCTGTGCAAAGTCTCTTTGCTGAACGAAGCACTTTATTTTCCATCCAGAGATGGGCCGTGTGACACCAGCTGAGACGTCCCTGTAGGGTCCTTCCAGCTGTGTAATCCCTGAACTGTGTGTGGGTAGTTCATGTAGAGGGAGTGTGGGGCTCCTTCAGACCCTGTTATTGTCACACCATTATTTCCCAAATGCTGATGGAAAGAGTTAATTCTCTGTGTTTGAGTACAACCCACTCACAGGACTCTCCTCCAGACACCTTCAACAGTTTATTTAGATTTAGCTCATTTATCTGCACCCAGCAGGGAATGGGATCGTGCAAATGCATCTTCATTAAAATCTATTATAAATTGATAAATTTTAGCCCATGGAAACATGCTGAAACACCCCTGCAAGCAAAACATGAACCTTCCTTTGAAGTTTACCACAGACCTAGTTAACAATCTGCCAGTCACAATAATGCCTTCAGAATCAAAAGAAAATCAGTCAATTCAATAAAATAAAATCAAATCTGTTTGTAAGATGATAGAAAGACTATTTTCCTCCCAATTACTGGATGTTTTGGTGAAAGGTTTATTTCTTTATATGGAATTTCCAAATAAAATAAAGTAATTCACTCCAGCACTGACTCATATTGAGCATTTTGGTGTTGACAAAATGTTCTTTGGTATCAACTGGCACAAGACAATTGCCACAGAAAGGACACTCTAATTTGGTATATTGGCTTCCTTTTCATTTTGACAGAGGAAAATGAAATATTCTGGTTGTTCTGATATCCTGCTGCAAGTAACAGCAAATGGTGAAAAAACAAGGCTCTATAATACCCAATATTTCACTCTGAAAATCATGAATTAGCAACCGGGAAAAAAACAAACTATTTTTCATTCCAATTTCACAGAGATGACAAAATTCACCTTAGACACTAATTTACTTGTCCATGTATAAATCTACCCTATTCCAACAAACACAATTACAGCCAGAAATGTTCCAGCCAGAGCTGCCTCTTGCTCAGTACCCACTGAACAACTGAGTATCTTGGATCAGGATCCAGCCTCTTGCATCAAATTTGCTGCCAAACAAATCAAGACTCCTGAAAGCTCAGTATGCACAAATACCAGATTTTAATATTCATATATTTGAATTATATCCAAATCACCACATGTGCTTGTTTTTAATGTTTTATACCTAAAGCATTGAAATACAAATCATATCCAGACTAAAAATCTCAAATCCAAACTCATATTTATCACAGGCTTCAAAGCACAACTGTGCTTCTCAGGATCAGATTTTCATTTTAGACCCACTGCAGTTGGTTCATGCTTGACTGTCGCTTTCAGTGGCTTGAACTGGTATTCCCAAATCATGGAAAACTCAAGGCAAATTATGGATTTATTATGTCAACTCCGTTCAAGCCCTGATCTTACAGCTTTGGTCAGGCCTTCAATGACTGGAGTTTTACAGAGGTCAGTGAGAAGCTTCAAGACCTCAAGAGTCCCTTCCCAAAACTCACTGAGTGGTTTGTGATTTCCTGAAAATGCCAAACAGTGCTTTAAATAAATGCATTTTGGCAGCTTTGAGAACTTATGGAGAAATACATTAAAGAAGCAAAATTTGCTCCCAGTGAAGTATTTGCTGACCTCAGCAACAACCTCAGCACCATCCAGGAAGTTTCTATGACTTTACAAATTGCAAAGTTTAGTTTAATAACATTTCCAGCCTACAAATTTAAAATCACAAGGTGCTGAGCCTGTCTTTTTTTAGTATGAACCAAAGCTGAAGCACTGATCTCATCAAAAGTTTTTCAACCAACTAGATTTTTGGAATAGCGAAGTCTTATTGACAATATTGCATCAATTAATAAAGATATTCAATATACCTGCAGAAGGATAATGGTACCATCCACAGAGAATCCAGAGTTCCAGCTATCCAAACCCATGGTGTACAATTTGTGTAGGGACAATTTCCATTTGAGAGACTAAAAGGTTCTTGAAATGGTCAATATTTACCTCTGGTGCAATGTAGTCTGGAGTGCCACAGAAGGTCCTGGTTGTTACTCCATCTAACATATGTTCTTTGCACATTCCAAAATCAGCAATTTTAATGTGTCCTTCTGAATCCAACATCACATTATCTAATTTCAGATCTCTATGAAGAATCACAGCAATTTAATGTTAATGCTTAGGATTAACAAAGTATCAGAAAGCTCAGGTAAAACCGGGGGCTTTGGTTTCCTCCTCACCAGCACCAACACAGCAAAAAGAGCCCCACACTGATGGCTTTTTATACAGTGTTTTAAAAATACACTGGAACTTTAAAGAAACTGATTCATTCAGGTTTTTAAAAATAGTTCAGAATTTCTTGTGTCAGATTATACTCACCTATAAATAATCCCTCTGTTGTGGAGAAAGAATAACCCAATGGAGATCTCGGCTGCATAGAACCTGTGTGGGAAAAAAAAAAACCACAACAGATTTCTTACTGCCTCGTGATTTCCTTCAGACAAAATCATTTGGATGTGCATCATGGTAAATAATGATAGCATTATAGCATATGAAATACATAATTTATAGCGTGTATATATGTAAAAGTATAAAAATATGTATTACGGGCAGATACTATAAAAGACATCTCACTTCGACTGGACCTTAACAGACACATTTTGAGTGTTTGACGATAAAATAATGCAGAATTTTTAAAAAAATAATATTGAAAATGTCTCCCTAGACAACAAAAAATGGTGTAGCTGGAGCACAGCATTTTTTTTTTTGGACCGATCTGACTCTGCTGCAAAGATCCTTATCTCTAATCACATATTGATGAATTCAGGATGCAGCTCAATGTACATTGCAATTCATATGGCATGAAATAATTTGCAGAAATAGTATTCCTTTACACAGGCTGTTAATGGATTAATTACATGAAGCTAATTAAAACGATTACCATATAAAATATAATTGCCGAGTGCAGTTAAAAGATATATAATATTGATGGCTGCTTGAAGCTGGTTGCTGTGGAAATTATATGCAAGAGGATTATTTAAAGATGAGATTAATTTTTAGGCTTAGCATAAGGGAGAGGAAGGCTGAGCTCTGCAACACTTGATCAGAGGTGTTGGTGAACACGTGTGCTGAAGATGCTGCACAGGCAGAAGCTGTCAGAAAGCACCACAGATTTTGTTAAGTGTTGGCAAGTTACATTAGCTGGGAGTCAAAGATGATCTGACACCATCTAGTTTTTCTTCAGGGAGTTGTTAAAATATTTTTCTGATTCTGAAATACTTATATTTAGAAGGCCTCTCATTTAAATGAGCCCTGGTTGCTTAAATCGAGATGAGAAGTTATTTTAACTGAATTCTTAAAACAGTTGGTCACCCTTGCTTTTAAAGTTTCTTTGGTAAATGATTCAAGGAACGCTAATAAGTGATGAGGAGATGTTATAAGCATGACTAACGTGGTACTGCTGGATCTATTCACACTTGAATGTGCTATAGATCATTATCAGCTGCTCAGTGATGTGCCAGATGTACAATTACCTAAAAGGGATCATGTACATAAACAACTTCTAATAATTTATTAACTCCTTACAAATATATCACAGAAATTCTTATAAGCTATAAATTGCATTTATCTTGTATAAACTTATTTATATTGCAGTGCTGAGTCTATTTGTGCTGCCTTTCCTTATAACACTAATTCAGACTGAAATGTTCCACTCACCTTTTTATTAATATTTGCTTTTAAAAACAACACCAGAATGCCAAGTAACAGCTTTAATTTCCTGCTGCCTGGCTTAAATTCTTGTCACTTTTCAAGTAGTGTGCTTTTGTTTGTGCTCTGTTTTGGAATAAAGGCACAGATACCTTTGGCCTATGTGTGCAAACATTTTTAACATGAACTTCAGCTTTTGGGCCTTAAAAGCACAATCAGAGAAGGCCAGCTTAGACTTCCTACTGAGCCTGGGAAGAGGAAGAAACCAAGTCCTCTTAGAGTATAAGATAATGAGGATGACATGATTTAAATATATGAATGTGAACACTCACACTGCTTGTGGCTCCTTAAATTTTCCTACTTGCTGGATGTGATACATGAGATCCCCACCATTCACATACTCCATGACAAAATACAGCCGGTCCTGGGACAAAGCAGTAAAGACACAGAGAAATACATTAGAGGAAATATATTAGATATTCATTGATCAGCAGAAAAAAAAAAAGTAACTGGTATGTTATTATAAAGCTTTTAGGATTATTAGGACTGGTTGTACATTCCTGCAAAATCGATAGATCGATAAATGGAAGTGGAAAGTTTTGTAAAACCTGCAGGAGTAAATGACTGAGGAGATCTGACAAGATTTGTCAATTTTAGTGGTGCACTTTTACATATTATTTGTCTACAATGGTCACATGAATTACACAAACATAGCTCTGTTTGAAAAATCAGTCTCTAATAAAAAACAAACAAACAAAATCAAAAGTAGTTGAAAATTCCTGCTCTGAGGCCATTTCTAAACCTTCTTAATAAGTTTTCCTTTGGAAGATGGGAGGTGTTAAAAAATATAGATTTTTTATTATTAAAAAGGTGATGGTTTCTTGTGATTATGTCTGCAAATTGGTTGCATTCAGGCCATTTTCTGCTCAGGGATTTGTAGACATTAAACAGAGTTTGAAAGTGCCTTTAACACCACAGACAATTGTGCTGTGAAAGCTGAGGGGATCTGGCTTTTTCACAGAATCCCAGAATCATTTAGGTTGGGAAATATCTCAAATCCTTAAAAGTATTTAGGAACCTTTGGGAAGGTGGGCTTAAGGCTCTGACTTAGAAACCACACAGGATGAAATTTAGGAATTATCACCCTGGTCGGCTGGAATGACTCAGAGGAAAAATCTTTAAACCTAATTTTTATATTTCAAATACAAGGGGTAATTACATGTGGTATTCCTTTCCTGTTTTCTACGCTATGATGTATAGGTTGGATGATAATAAATGTCATTGAAGTGCTAAAATCCACGATCATTTAGTCTGGAAAACACAGGGTGGGAAGAGAGAGCTCACGTACAACTGTCTGGAAACAGGAGTGAAGCTGTGTCAGGAACGGGGGTTTATCCTGCAGTGCCAGGACTCGTTTCTCAACCATTGTACATTCAACATCATCATCCTGGATCACCACATCTTTCTTCAGGATTTTGATTGCATACAGCTCCTCTGTCCCCTTCCTGTCTGCCAGCATCACCTGCACCGAGAGAAACAACGGGCTCAGAATCGTCCAAGCCAAGCCCCAAGATTTGTAGGGATGGCAATCCAGCTTTTCCTTTTATTGGTATGGACTAATCTGATCAAAACTCCAAAATTATGGTCACTACTCACCCGCTGCAACGAGCTGTACCATCATTTCAGGCACAGCCTGTGCCAAAACCCTCTGGTTGATCACAGGCACGTTGCTGAAGGGCTGATAAAATGTTAAGTCCCAGGGGACTTCTTCAGTAAAGGGCACTTTATCACAGAAGTGGTGTTCAAACAGACAGAAAAATAGCAGCCTGTTCCTTCAACTAATGGATTTCAAATATATACTATACACACTATTCCTGGTTTTTCCCCAATGTCCAGCCTTACCAATGTTGGTGACTTCCAGAACTGGCACAGTGACCTGGGTAGTAAAGCCAGAAAAGTAAACTTGATTTCCTTGAACCTGCCAAGAAGTGAGGATCTAAAAGTCAGCAACTGTTTCTCACATCTTGCCCAACAGTCTTTTATAATTTATTTTTACTTTTTCAAGAAAATTGCCAGTCAGGACTGAAGCCCTCTAGTCCTTAGGGAACCACCATGCTCCCTGTTAAGAGATCCTCCCTCAAAAATGCACATCCTTTTGACTCTGGCTTTTGCTTCTCAGGGAATTATTCATTCATTCCTCCTCAAGGTAAAAAGAAAAAACACAACAAAAAAAGAAAAAGGAACGGGAGTGGAATAATTATAAAGAATTCCTACCTTCCCAAAGCTCCCCTTTCCAAGAACCATGAGGAAGTTGAAATCTGTCAGCTTGACCCTGTCCAGATTGTTGGATGGCACACTTGAGCTCTTGTCTTCTGTTGAAGTAATGACTTTGTTACCAGCTGGCCCAAGTTTGGCTTTCTGAAGAACATACACACACATACACACACAGAAACAGGGAAGTAAGAAGAAGAACAGCCCAGTTTTCCTGGCGGGAGGGATCGCTGGGTGCAGGTTACAATTGGACCATGGCTGAGGTGGCATTCCCAGGAGAGAGGCTGCATAACAAAATGTGCACAGACACATCTTCAAAGACCCATCCCAACAACACTTCTGGCACTCTTGAGGGGGTTAAAGTAGGAAACTGTTCATGGATAACCAGATAAAGCAGATGTACTTATCTGGTTAAAAGAGCAAAACCAAAGCAAAGCCCAAAAACAAAGGGAAAAGAGATCACTTATTTTCATGCCAAAAGCAGCTTATCTGGTGCTTTTGTTTTGAAATACAAATAAAATAAAAAAAAAAGCTTTCCAAAAATACCATGCTATAATCTACACAGGGTATTTTAGGACTTAAACAATCTCTTCAATACATTCTCTTTTCAAATGTAATTCTTCAAGTCACTGCATAGCAAGAGTTAGGAAAATTTAGACATGCATTAAGAAAAATAACCTACATTAAAAATAACACAATGCATGAGAATTAATGCAGATGAACATGGCCACTGTCAAACCAGCAATACAATCAACTTTGATTTTCAATCAAGGGTTGATCTGGAAAAGGGAGGAAAGGGAATATTACATACAAGGGCTCTGCCTTGCTCAGACAGTCTGGTTTACAAAAGGTTGAACAATCTCAGTATTTCACATAAGACACCATGTAATTGCTCAAGTTGCATTTCAAATCTCGAAGTTAATAGAAGAGAAAAACGTAAGACTCACCAAAAGATAATGCAGGCTAAAAGATAATATCCCTTTTTTTTTTTTTTTTATCAAAATAATCCCATATACCAGCAGAAGCAAAGCCAAGAAGGTTTAATAATGCTTTGGGATATAAGTGCTTTCCCCATCTGTCTGTTGTTGGTCTGGTTAAGAACCTCTAACAGGGTTAATTTACTCTGTGCCATCGATGTGTGTTTGATATTTCAGGGTAACTACTTTTCTCACTGTGCTGCAAAAGGACAGTATTTGTATATTATCACTGGTTTACAGATAAAGAAAATTACAGAAATTAAAGTTTATTCAAAACCACACAATATATCACTCTAAAAGCCTGGCCTGGCAAACACCTTTGGCAGCCTCACTGGAAAGTGGAAGTTACAAACTTTGCCCTCCCCAGACAAGTTTAAAACCATAAGATTGAAGGGGATGACTCAATTCATGGACTGCAGCTCTCTACTCCTGCAGGCAGTAATGTCAAATGATCATCTGACAAAAAAAACATGTCACTGGAAAACCATATTCAGCTTGGATGACTCTTCCTGCAACTTTATGAGCACAGAAAATCTTATACCCTGCTACAGGAATAGGAATTTTGGAAGTTCAGATCTCTTTATTAAAAAAATTGTATTACAGCTTAGAATGTGGATTTTTTTTCCCGCCAATGTTATTATTTGTTTGCGTGAAAGCAGCACCTGGAGATGCTGATGAGCATCATGTGCTGTGCAAATGTTCAGGAAGAGCCAGTCCTGGGTGTCAGCCTAAATCCCTGAGTCTGCAAGGGATGATCCCATGGCAGATCCAGCTGCTGGGACAAATCCAGGGGCTGTGATGGAGCACTTTGGCAGGACAGAGGCCACAATACAAGATTAAGCCATAAACAAACAAGTTTAAAAAAAAAGAAAAATCCCAATATCTTTTCTTTGTACAAGATGAAGACATGGTTCAAAGCAGCAGCTTTGCTGGCCATGACTTTGTGATGCTCTGGCACGTGGGATCTCAGATAAAGATCTTGCTTTTGTGATACAAAAAGCAATTTCAATATCCGCCTTTTCACCAGGTACTGGAGATCCAAATCAGGCCTTGAATGGATAACAACCAGCTTTATGTCTCCTACTTTAAACCCACTGGGCAGGTCATTGGCAGCTTGTTCAAAAAATACAGAATTTGAAACAACAAATCACATTTTGTTCCAAGGCCATTTGCTTTCTCGGGTACAAACCTGCCGTGCAGGCAGGGAGTGCTCTCGGCAGCGCTGCAATCCCGGGCACCACGTGTTTCCAGCACACTTCCCAAAGGAAAGCATGGCAGGTTCACCAGCAGGCTCCTGTGCCTGCTGCTGGCCCCAGAGCTGGAGGCACTGAACTCACTTTTTTGGGATGGAGTTGTCAGGATCTGAAGGCAGGATCTTAAAATAATATTCAAGAACCCAGCCAAGGCCTCTCTGTATCTTTGCAAGGCAACACTTGAGATTCAACGAGCAACAGAGACATGCTCCTCTCACTTCTTTTAATCCTTTTTTAAATTAGATGTCACCCTCAATTTGACAATTTCTTTTTCCATATGGTGGATTTTTGAGGAGAACTCGGGATTCCTGCTGTTTGGTCAGGGGGGCTCTGTGCTGCCTGGTCCAGGCAGAAGGTCAGCACAGGCAGGAGCTGCTGGACTGTGCTGAGCTGTGAGTGACCCGTGGCAAGGGAAGGAGATGATCCTGTTTATCACACTGCACAAGCACTGGTGGGTGTAAAGAGAGAATCCTGCTGCAAACCTTGTGTAAGGAAGCCTGGGAACATGGAATGCCATGAAATGCTGGAGAACAACCAGGCTGACTCAATGAAAACACACGCCCCAGAGTGGGACTGCCTAATTAAATGACCTTGTTAAATGGTCACATCCTTATCAAAGGTCCTTATTCCCCTTCAGCCCGGCCACTGACCAGTTGCTTATGAGCATGCAAAATAGTTTTTCACATTTAGAATATGAATTCCTTTTACTGCTTTTTGGCTCAAGGTCCTAGTGAAAACACAGTGGGAATTTCCACACATTTCACTGAGCTCCACAATGAGCTTTGTATCTGAAACATCTTGACTATTGCAGAGGGAAAATGCCATGCAGCCAACACACTCTTCCAGATTGCCAGAGCAAAACCAGTTTTGCAGCTACAGAAGGGACATAAACTCAAATGATTCATAAAAGCTTATTGGAAAAGAGCAATGATATTTTGCCTTTCCTATCATGACTAAAATTGAAAATCGCAGAATCCTGCTTGAATCCCCCTTGAATCCCCCCCCCCTTATTTTTTATGGATATTAAAACTTGCTGAAGTTGAAGATGGCATCTCAGGCCCTGGATTAATTTTCAATTTACATTCCAACTGCTTGGCTTATTATTATCTTGGACAAACCCACAATATTGTTACAATGAAGCCAGCTTGCAGCAAACCAACCAGGAAAACAGAATGTTAAAGAGAAATTAGTCTGCACTGGGAGCAGAAAAGTTAATCTAAAAAGAAAACAAGACATGCACATCATCTTACTTCCTCTGGTTTGGACGCACCTTATCTCGGCCAGTTCTTTTACCCTGAAACCACAGGTGAGAAATAACGTATATATTCAGCCCAAATTCACTTCTCCACGGAGTGTTACAGATATTACAGTGTGTTACATTGGAGAGTCTCTTGGAATTTGGCATGTGCTTTTTGGAAAAGATATCTCAGGTTTTGCAGTAAAAATGCTTTCAATTTATATTTAATCTAAGAGTAACAATTATACACTTAATTAAATATGAAAAAAAATCTTTCCCAAACTTAATGAGAAGTGTGATGCAAAGAAGAAACAGAAGTGATTTAGGGAATAGGAATTCATCATTGCAGTGAATTTTTAATCACAATATATATTCTCATTGACTCTTTCCATAACTTTCTTTCTGATTTCTCACTGTGAAGGAACTCTAATAAACAATAAATCTGAACATTGGCTCTTCTGCCCTCCAGTTACATCTATATTAGAGAATCTTACGAATTACGAGCAAAAAGAGACCAAATTGTTAATTTTCCACATTAGCCAACAAACAATAAAACTTGTGAAGAATTTAAAAGAATATACACAATTCACTTTCCTACCCTGGGTCTCTGTGGTGTAATGAGCTACCTGACATGATGTTACTGCTTTAACACCTTGTATCACCCACCTGCACCACTTCTCCCCTGCTGCTGTTTGCAACACTCAGCTCGGTGAGATTGGATTTGTTCCCACAAGGAAAACGAACACCAGGAGCCAAACCTGCCCAAACTTGCAGCCACCCCCTGCCATCCCCCAAGCACAGCTCCAGGAGGGAGAAACCCACATCATCTCCCAGGAAGAGATAATCAAGCCAACAGGCTCTGTGTGCCGCTCACTAGGGGAGGTGTTTCTCGGTTGTCAGGGCAACTCGCTCTCAGAGAGTTCCCAGATGCCGACAGGATCATCCCTGGGACCAAATTTCCGAGAGGAGAAAGCGATAAATGAAAAGATATTTAACAGCAGTGCTGAATTCTCATCACGTGTGCAGAGGTGCAGCCACACCCAGCCCATCCCTCTGGGATTTGCTCCACTGACACCTGCCCAGGAGGGAAATCCAGAGCTTTGCTCCCCCAGCAGCAGAGTCGTCTGGAGACTCCCAGCTGTGCTCCACATGGGTACCAGCATCCCCTCCCCATCTTCAGAGCAGGTTCCACCCACCAGCCACTGCTCTGCCCCTGCAGTTGCATTCAGCTGGGAATAGTGAATGAATGATGGAGGAACAGAGCACAGAACTGCCCAGTCTCTGTTCCAAAACTCCCAGCTTTGACTGCTCGAGGGCCAGCATTCCAAGGACTGACTGCACAGGCTTTATCTTAGATGGTTTGGGTTGGAAGGGACTTTAAAGCTCATCTCATTCCACCCCCTGCCATGGGCAGGGACACCTTCCACTAGCCCAGGTTGCTCCAAGCCCCGTCCAACCTGGCCTTGGACACTTCCAGGGATGGGGCAGCCACAGCTTCTCTGGGTAAGCTATGTTACATCCCAAGAACTGAGATCTATGGAGCAGCCACGTCCCCTTGCTGTGATTTAATCCCTCTGCAAAATTTGAACAAAACCCCTGCTCCTCACACTGCAACAAGTTCTCATCAGTTCTTTGCTAGACCCCAACATGCTCTTCAAATGTCACTGGGTGATGGAAGCA